ACCAACGGTTGTCCGCTGAACAGCGCAAACACCGCACCGCCGATGGTCTGCCCGATGAGCGCCCGTCGGGTGTCGATCAGAGCGTTGGTGTTGTTGTGATCGCGAACTCCAAACGCAATGCACGGAAGGATTATTGCGAAATATAGCGACACTGTTGTCGCCAATGTCTTGTGGATTGTCTTCGACGGGCCCACAAAACCTGCCAGAGTTTGCCATTAAATGTAATATTTAATTAATTTAATGCCATTATATGAACAAAATCATTGTACCATCGATGAAGTCACTCAAATAGTAATTAGATCTGCGTTTGAAGTTTTCTATGAGACCCGTACCAATACTTATACCACATTTGTTTTTCTGTGATGATAAAAATGTTAATTTAGTAAAGTATGCATTTACATTTGCTTAAGTATGCATTTAACGTAGTTTTACTCGTTTTGAATTATATTTGTTTCTAATCTCTTTGATTGCATTGATGTTATTATTTACAATAGTTTTGTTTGTCAATCGATTGACTTTTGTGGCAATTGAATCAATGAATTCGTGTTCAGTCGTGGCGTTAATTAAATCCAATCGAAAGTATATGTCGGCGAATAGTGTGGCAAATGTATGGCTAATCTCATGTGAGGTTTTAGTTAATTTCTGAATTATTAAACAAATTAAAATTAACATAAATATTGACAATTATAATAAGTGTTACTGAATTTACTTCATTAATCGGCGCTAATATAAGTACAAAGAATTTAATGTTTTGTGAAGTGATTTCCAGATTTGTTGGTTCTGTAAGTCTTGCGATACATATCTGTCTTCGTTTGATTGACGGAAGCGAACAACTGTTTGGTTATAATTTTATTCATATTTAAAGGTTTTAATTTAGTTTATAATTTGAATTTAAAAACGTGATTATCTGTTTCCAGATTAGTATAATAAATGGCATAAATACTGAGTGCAAATCCAGGTTTGGTCGAAGAGATAGCCATCATCTGATGATTGATATATGCCTTGTATTGTTTGACTCAAACATTGGTCGCGAATTGAATACAAATTGTCTTTTATCTCATTCTCTGATTCTGTGACATTCAAACGCTGGCAATAAATTGATGTAAATATTACAACACTTATATAATCGTAAACTAATAAATATTTGTAAATAATATACTGAATGATAAAATGAAATCCTTTAATTTTTATGGCTAATTAAATTGATTTCGCAAACTCTTATCAAAATTTGTAAAAAGGATTTTATAACTTTTTATTACATAATATAAATCGGTATATGTCTACTAATTTTAGCATTTAATTAAAGATATAAATTTACTTTTAAAATATACGTGTAAAATACATTTAAATTTTCTATACCGTTAATTTTAATTTAAGAATCCATTTAAAAAATTATTTTTTGTTATAAAATTTTTAATTAAATGATCGATAATTAATTGATGGCAATAAACAAATAAGACTTACAGTTAGGATACGATCGACGATAGACTTTAAATCCGTGTCTTTACAGTCAAGAAGAATACAGTATTGACTGATAAACAATTGGACGTCTCTTTCGCACCGAAACTCATTCTTGAAGTCCTTGTGTTTAACTATATCTAACTTTTGTGATATCAAAAACTCTTCATTTTGTGGCAAACCATCAAATGCTGATTCAGTTGTCATTTCTTTGCCATTCACTCCATTTTCCTCAATGTCTGTATTCTTGGGATCCATTGCTTTAACATTGAATATATCGCACGAATAAAGCGATCACTCTTTGTGGAGAACAACTAAATACCATCATTTCATTTCGCACTTATATTATACATATCATTTTTATTGTTTTATATTTATTATAATGTAATTAACATCAAGTTTATCCCTATTTGTAACAAAACTCACCGCCAGTGCATTCAGCCTATAATCACTTACTATTAGTTATCACTCATTTGTTTTAATTTTATAAACTTATTTCAAATATAAGATAATATTTAAAAGAAATTTTCTAGATTTTAAATTAGATTTTTTAATACAACATATTATAGATATTTTGATGACTTAATTATTTTACAACTATATATTATTCGACCAAGACACTATGAAACTAGATTGAAAACTTCATAAATTATCATGATGTGTTAATAATTAAATAATGGATGAATTGACAATAAAGTATAATATATTTTTAATTATTAATAAATAATTTTTAACATTTATGATCCAAAGAGGTATCCAATTATATAATTAAATTTGTGATTAAATATTTAATAAATTGTAAGTTATGTCACAATTATGTCATAAAAATGATATTCAATTGTGGCATAGAGTGTGACATCTGTTCACCCGAACAGTTAAACACAATATAAATAGTGACTTATTTGATTGGGTCAATGATAAGAGTCGTTCACAAATAATAGTACGTAAACCATATTTATTTAGAACCCAACAAAATACTAAAAAAGCAAATGTTGTAACAATTACAGCGAAAGTAAAGTTTATAACTCTCGCCTCTAACTCACGAACAAAGCGTAACGATGTTTGCGAACGAACTGACATATCAGCCAACGTGTAGTTTGTTTACGATTTTTTAGGTGTGAATCAAAACAAACGCTAAACACAATTGAATGACAATTAATATTATTATTAAAACAATTATTATATAATATATACAATTAATACACAGTTTATATCATCTATTATTTAATGTTTATAATAAACGTATAATTAATTAATTAAAATGTGTTTAAAAATTAAAGTAAAAAATACATATCAAATGCATTGACTGATTATTTGTGACATATTTTAGTAGAAAATAAATTAAATAATATATTAATCGGTAATTAAAACTCGTTTCACTTGTATTTGTAATGAAATGTCATTTAATTAACTTTTAATTAATTAATTACAGGAAAAAACAAAATGTTTAAAAAGCTGAAGGAGAAGATCGAGTCCGTGGCCACTGATATGAGTGATAACGGGGCCGATAGTGACCGCACTCCGGGTGACAGAGATGTGGCCACTATTGGCCGCAATCTGTTGTCCAAAACGATGGCTAACATCGGTTGGGGAGCCGACGGGTATAAGTCGGACGACTCGACCGCCAGTAATGGTGTGGCAGTGGTTAAGCACAGTGTCATCGATGGCACCGATCACGACATGATTACCTTTAATGATAGCGTTGGCGCCGATAATGGCCTCAAAAATAGCGTTAATACTAACCCGACGGACGTCAAGGAGTTAAGGCGAGAGTTGGCTGATCTCCACAACCATAACAAGAAACTCGGCTCAAGGGTTAGGGAAGTGGATGTCGAGAATCACGTGTTAAACCGACAGATCACTGATGTCAACGAAGAAGTATTGATTTGTTTGTTTTATTTATATTTTAATCGTGTATTTTTCTTTTATGATAAATGATTCTCTCTCTCTCTCTCTCTCTCTCTCTCTCTCTACTTTTTATTACATAATATAAATCGGTATATGTCTACTAATTTTAGCATTTAATTAAAGATATAAATTTACTTTTAAAATATACGTGTAAAATACATTGAAATTTTCTATACCGTTAATTTTAATTTGAGAATCCATTAAAAAATTATTTTTTGTTATAAAATTTTTAATTAAATAACCGATAATTAATTGATGGCAATAAACAAACAAGACTTACAGTTAGGATACGATCGACGATAGACTTTAAATCCGTGTCTTTACAGTCAAGAAGAATACAATATTGACTGACAAACAATTGGACGTCTCTTTCGCACCGAAACTCATTCTTGAAGTCCTTGTGTTTAACGATATCTAACTTTTGTGATATCAAAAACTCTTCATTTGGTGCCAAACCATCAAATGCTGATTCATTTGACATTTCTTTGCCATTCACTCCATTTTCCTCAATGTCTGTATTCTTGGGATCCATTGCTTTAACATTGAATATATCGCACGAATAAAGTGATCACTCTTTGTGGAGAAGAACTAAATACTATCATTTCATTTCGCACTCATATTAAACATATAATTTTTATTGTTTTATATTTATTGTAATGTAATTAACATGAAGTTCATCCCTAATTGGCAACAAAACTCACCGCCAGTGCATTCAGCCTACAATCACTTACTATTAGTTATCACTCATTTGTTTTAATTTTATAAACTTATTTCAAATATAAGATAATAATTGAAAGTAATTTTCTAGATTTTAAATTAGATTTTTTAATACAACATATTATAGATATTTGATAATAATAATTATTTTACAACTATTTATTATTTGACCAAGACACTATGAAACTAGATTGAAAACTTCTTAAATTATCATAATGTGTTAATAATTAAATAATGAATGAATTGACAATAAAGTATAATATATTCTTAATTATAAATACAAAATTTTGAACATTTATGATCCAAATAGGTATCCAATTATATAATTTTTGTGATTAAATATTTAATAAATTGTAAGTTATGTCACAATTATGTCATAAAAATGATATCCAATTGTGGCATAGAGTGTGACATCTGTTCACCCGAACGGTTAAACACAATATAAATAGTGACTTATTTGATTGGGTCAACGATAAGAGTCGTTCACAGATAACAGTACGTAAACCATATTTATTTAATACCCAACAAAATACTAAAAAAGCAAATGTTATAACAATTACAGCGAAAGTAAAGTTTATAACTCTCGCCCCTAACTCACGAATAAAGCGTAACGATGTTTGTGAACGAACTGACATATCAGCCAACGTGTAGTTTGTTTACGATTTTTTAGGTGTGAATCAAAACAAACGCTAAACACAATTGAATGACAATTAATATTATTATTAAAACAATTATTATATAATATATA